CATTGAACAAGTTGGTGGAGAGAAAACTGTAACTGCATTGATAGCAGATGTACCCACTAGATGGAATTCCACTTATGAAATGCTTAATCGTGCTCTCAAATTCAAGCGTGAGTTAGCAATTCTCCAATTGAGTGATAGAAATTACAAGTATTATCCTTCAGAAGAAGAGTGGAATAGGTTGGAAATTCTTTGTCGGTTCTTGCATCCATTTTGTGAGATCACTAATTTGATGTCTGGCACTTCTTATCCTACTTCTAACTTGTATTTTCTACAAGTTTGGAAAATTCAGCGGGTTCTCATTCGTATGAGTAATGATGAAGATGTGGTTGTAAGTAGCATGGCTAATAAGATGATGGATAAGTTTCAAAAATATTGGGAAGATTATAGTGATGTGCTTTCATTAGGAGCTGTTCTTGATCCTCGCATTAAGTTTACTACATTATATGCTTACACACATGATGACAAGATGGAAAATATAAAGGCAAACGTGTATAAGCTCTTTGAGAATTATGTAAAAATTAATTCATCAACTACCATTGATCAAAGTCAAGATAACACCCACTCTTCAAGTCAAGGGTCAATGGAATCGAGAGGATGGGATGATGAGATATTGGATGTAAGTTCATGTTTAGCAAAAAGCTTTAATTATGTTATATCGTATTCATTTTCACGCCTTTATTTATGCATGTACTTACTTACTTCGATTATTATGTTTTTGCACTTCTCAAATATGATAGGAATTGACCTTGCACACTCAACACCAAGCAATAAATGCTGGAAAATCTGAACTTGATGTTTATTTAGAGGAGCCGCCTGTAATGGTTATTGACAGCTGGAATAGTTTAGATGCATTGCAATGGTGGAAGGATAATAGTTGTCGTTTTCCGAGTCTATCATTAATGGCTCGTGACTTGTTAAGCATTCCTATTATCACTGTGGCATCTGAATCTGCTTTTAGCATTGGATCACGTGTGCTTAACAAATATAGAAATAAGTTGTTGTCAAAGAATGTTGAAGCTTTGGTATGTACCCGCAATTGGTTGGCTGGTTTTGTTGCCAATGGTAATTTATTTATTTTCAATGCAATTAAAATTTCATTTTTCATTTGTCATTGTAACCTTAATTGATTATTTACATTTTATGGTTTGTGTTTTGTAGATGATGATGATGATGAAGATGGTATTTCTCATATATTAGCTTCTTCACGGGGATCTAATGGTCATGAAACTTTATAGATGATCTAATGATGATGGTGTACTTTTGGATGTTTATATTTTGTTATTGTACTGTATTGGCCATGGGAACTCATAGGACAATTTTTTTTTCGTAATGTGTTTGTCTACTGCTATGTTGGGATTTCTTAATTTATTGGTTATGTTTTATTAGTTACTGTCTTTACACCATTATCCATTAGGCAATCAATAGATTTGGCAGTGTTGATAATTTGATAATTATATACAGGAGAACAAACCACAAAAATTAAAATTTTTGAGCCAACCCGCGAGCCAATATTTCGAGCTAACCAACCCGCGAGCCAACTCACTGGCACCATTTCGAGCAAACTCGTGAGCTTTTTTTGAGCCAACCCGTGAGCTTTTTTCCGAGCCAACCCGCGAGCTGATTATCGAGCCAACCCGCGAGCCAACCCTAACCCGGCTCGGGTCGAGCCGGGTTGGGTTTTCTGGCTCGTTTTTTTTCGAGCCAACCCGACTCGACCCGTTTTTTTCGGGCTGAATGCGAGTTGGGCCGGGTCGAGCCGGGTTGGCCCGTTTTGCCAACCCTAACCACAATGAAAAGGACTTTGGCTCTACATGTTGAAAGGTTCAGGAAACTATAAAAGAAGAGAGAGAGAAAGTGAAGGGGACTTTTAGCTTTTAGAATCACTTTCCACTTTTCAGAACTTGTCTTAGTTTTTGGACTTCGTGAAGCTTCTCTTTCTTTTGCAACCTATTATTCCTTCTTCCTCAGGCACCAATGTTGGATCCAAACCATTTTTCTATTTCAATGCTCTAACGCCCACACCGGATATGGACCGAACTGTCTCATGACGTTTTGAACCCAGCTCACATACCGCTTTAATAGGCGAACAGCCCAACCCTTGGAAAATACTACAACCCCAGGTGGCGAAGAGCCGACATTGAGGTGCCCACTCTAAACAATCCCCCCTTTGCCGGATTATTGCCAACGTAATCATAAAAAGCTAATTTTTCAGGAATTTTAGACCAAGCTTCTGATAAACTTTGATTTTCGGCTAGCCCAGCACCAACTCTTCGATATATTTATTGCTGGAAAGTTTTTAGAAGCTTGAGCAAGATCTCATTGAAGCGCAGCAATTTCCAAAATGCAGATTTTAATCTTTTTCTTCTACATTTTAATTCTGTTTTCTGAGTTCAATTGTACTACACACATACATCCGTATTCCTTTGTTCAATATGTGACATTCAAATGAATGCTTTTGATCTGTATTTGAATTTTAGCTTTATGTCCATGTAGTAACTAAGTAATTTAATCAGATCTGGAATGTACTAAAGGTTGTGAATAAATTATGTTTGTTCCTTAATCAATTTGCTCAAGGATTATTAATGAAAGAACTCATCTTATCTGGCCAATTTGAAAGAGTAACATAGGATTGGTTGTTGGAAAACAACATCCAGATCTACCTTGAACACTGCATAGTTTTGATTAGGGATAATCAGACTCGTAGAACTTAAATCCAAGGCGTTAAAGTCGTTTGAGAGTGAATTCAATTAGGAATTATTCAGTTCATAACCAAACCACTATTCTGTAGCTCGAAAGTGCAGAACTGTGGTAGCGGATTAGTTAATTGACAAAGGTGTTGTAACAAGTTCTGGTAATTTAGTGTAAAACAAGGTAATTGGAAGAAATTCCAAGTCTGATGCTATCTGAATGTTGAATCAACTTCCTTGTGACTCATTAGTGCTATTCTATGTTGCACCGACACCAACACGAGACATGACACGACGCGACGCTCTGACATGTTAATTCTAAAAAATGTTAGATTTTGTTAGGACACTTTTGATATTAAATAATATTTTTAATTTATATAGTGTATATTATATTTAATATTCAATAATTTAACAAAAAAATGAAACTAAACTTATAATACCCATCAATTTTGCAAAAAAACATAAGATGTAAATATTTACTATTATATTTTAAATTAAAAATCTCTTATACACTCCAGTGAGATTTATTCGGTATCCATTTTTAATTTTTATTATATCATTTTGGTAAAATATCGATCAATTTTTTCATGACATAATGAAATTTCAAATATTATAGATGTCAGAGCGTGTTAGAGTGTTGAGGTGTCAGGGAGTGTCAGACACGAAAATTCAGGATTAGGATATTTTAAGTGTCGGTGCAACATAGGGGCTATTTTACATCATATTAGATCAGTGATTAGTTTGAGTTTTGTTTGATTACTTCTTGCAATATTCCATGAATTACCATTTGATTTAGGAATCTCATTGAATGCACAATTATATAAATCCTCAATGGAACAATAACTTTACTCTTTCATTGTATTACTCGTGATCGTGTTGCTTGCAAGTGTGGTAATTCTCTTATTTCAGTTCCTACAATCAATATTTGAGAGAATTGCAAGCGAACAACAAAATGATGTTGGCAGGGTTCATGAACGAATTGAGGGAAGACCATACACATGGAGGTTTGACTTCTCATCACAAATAACTTGGGACAAATTATTGCACAAAGACTGGAGGAGAGAGAAGCAGTGTTGGATTCAATCGAGTCCTCTGATGAAATGAGTGGATATTGGAATGGAAGTGGGATTGGGATTGGGCTTCACTCACACCTAGCCTTAACTAACAAAACTACAAGAAGTTAGGATGAGAGAGCTAGGCCCAATATGGTGGCCCAAAGAGGTCAAACACATTCAAAAGACAAAAGGAAAATACTCAGGACCCAATATGGTGACGGCAAAAACATATTACTACGAAGCAGGTCTCTCGCATGACCAAAATGGGACAGCACAAGGAAGAGCAAACAGCATGGACAGCGGAGGGGGGAATCATCAAAGCGGTTCTCAGTTCAAGATACTGATGCCAGAGGAATTAACTGATAAGTTGAGATGTAATGTGTATTTTCGTTGTGACACGCCCTTTTCGCCAGGCCATGTGTGCCAAAATAAGCACCTCCATGTGATGATTCTAGGAACAAGGGATCCAGTGCATCAAGCAGAAGACAGCTTCAGAGGTGGGGAAGGCAGTGGTAACGATCCCAACTTCTTTTCACCTTGAGGACAAGGTGAACCTCAAGGAGAGAGGCATAGATTTTCCTTTTATGTTTGTTTACAGCCATATGAAAGCAAGAAAACATTCTAAAATGAACTAACCTATAACAGAAAAAAAAATGTGGAAGGGAGCTTATGATATTTAGAGGGATTTGTTGAGGCATTAATCAGCATTAACTGCAATAAAATTGGAGAGAGGAGTTGGGGAGGAGCTGAAGGGACAAGATGAGGTTATAAAGGGAGGGGTGGAACATGGTAATGGGCATTAATTGAGTAAAAAGGAAAAGATAGGGGGTTGGGCTAGAGATTCTGGACATCTATAAACTCTAGATTTATCATTTAGTATTCTGTATTTCTTCTATTCTTGAAAGGAGCTAGTCTCCATTGTTTCTATCAAAAAAAAAAACAGTTTCATCATTCCCCAATGTGGCAAAAACTAATACTTGACATATATAAGATTTATCAGACCAACTTCAATAAAAATGGAATGGACAGGGGACAAAAAAATAATTCTGAGTCAACCCTCTCCCTCCCCTAACCTAAAGATAGTGATTAAACATAAAAGTTGAACATCACACAAATTCAAAATATCTAACTCTAATCTCTAATTGCTAACTATTTCCAACTAAAGTTTTTCTTTTTTTCATTCGTTGTTTCCATTATTCTGCAAATGCATAATGTCAAGCAAAGAACAAGAAGTACTGTGCAGAACAGAGAGCATTACCAGAAAAAATATTGGAAAGAACTCCCATGAGAAAGTAGATGATAGATGAGAGAGCCATACAAAGTAAACCAGAGTATCTGGACCCATTCCATACCCACAATATAAACTGAGTGAAAGGAGACGTCTCCGATTCAAGTAGTCTTATTACTTCATCCTGCACCCAAATATGAGTTAAAGAAATTAGTTCTACTTCGTCAGCTTCCCTTTGCTTAAATTGTTTTTTTATGACAGACAGAAACATAAAAGCCATCTTATATTCTATTCATAATTACAGACTAACACCAGAATCTGCTTTAAAAAAATATGTTTCAAACAAAATTCGTTGCTTCCTTCCTCCAAGGTATTAAGTATATAAAGAAGAAGAAGAAGAAAAAAAACATTCATTACATTTTCTTTCTTTTATACAATTTATATTGCTTCAGCGCAGGAATTACTAGAGTAAGCTAAGGTTGAGGTTGAGTTTTGTTATATATATATATATATATATATATATATATATATATATATATATATGACAACATATCCATAGACTGAAATTCATAATATCTATAAATTTATAATTTTTAAACATATATAAAGTGTAATAATATGTTGCCACGTATAGAGTTGACTGTGAACCCAGTAACACAAATCTTGAGTTTTAACCTTCATCAAACGGTAACACTGTTTTGTGCATTAGTTAATATAACACATATATACACATCCTGAAACTCATTAAAAAAAAAATTGTGTAAATTATTTAAATTGTGAAACGGAATCAACCATAATAATGCAGTAAACTTCTGCTAGCAAATTGAGAAACAACAACGACCCTTCATTCCAATGAAAATTTTATTTCCAATAATCAAAGAAAACACAAGAAGAGATAACGATTCAAATTATGACAAACCGTATGTAAGGGGAAAAGAAAAAGAAAAAGAAAATTACTCTGGGTTTTCTTCGAGGGTAAGAAGCCGTGAAGATGTTGATCTTTGGTCTCTCTGTAAGCGAGAGAAGAGGGGCAATCTGGTCATTACCCACATCATCAGAATCACCATGAGAAGGTGATGATGCATCACAACCAATGAGCTCAACAACGTGATCTACACCGTTGGATTCGGGGGATGCCATAGTGGTTGTTGGCACATTCAGATTTCACGGTCACAGCTTAACAAATTCGAATCAAAGGTTGATTTTGCCGAAGAAGAAGAACGACAACGACGACGATGTGTGTGCAGTGCAAAATGGTTGAAACTCGAAAGTGACTATGAAACGGTCAGAGACGAAAGTGTTGGCAATAAAATAAGTATAGTGTTTCATTTCTTTATGAAAATGAAAATGAATTATTAATTTTTTTTTTTATTGGAGTTGTTTAAACATATGTTAATTATAAAAAGTATTTGATTAGAGGATTAGTTTTTCTGGAATGAACACACCTTATTTGTATTAAACCCAAAATAATATTGTTTTAGGACAAAAATTAAGATATTTTTATAATTAAATTTATTCAGTCTTTATTAATATAACTTTTTAACTCTTCGTTTTAAAAGTAAATATAAATAATTTATCTGCATTCACCGTAAAAACAATAAAGCCTTGATTAAACGATGATTTCCTAAGTAATGTTTGAATTGTATCATTTAAAAAAAAATAGGGTGATATTTGAATTGACTTTTGAAATTGCATTAAGTTATATACTTTTAAATATATGCCTTTAATATCTCTCGTATTATAAGAAATATTATCTTTTGTACATACATAAAAGTATATAGAGCTCGTATTTACATGAGTTCCACTCACTTTTATACTATGATGTGTCGACACTTCAAAATACTTGACGTGTTGTATTTGACACTTCTTGGTACTCCAACACACGTTGTAGACTATTAGAGTCGTTGGATTACGATTACCATTTTATTGAGTTTAATATAAATATTTAGGATATCTTTTGTTTCTTTGCTAAATCTATAGGCATTAGCCATTATAAGTTTAGTTTCATTTTTTTCTTAAATTACTCAATATTAAATATAATATACACTACATAAATTAAAAATATTATTTAATATCAAAACATATTTTTTTTTAGAATTAACATTTCGTAGTGTAGTATCGTATCTCGTGTCTCATGTTGATGTCAGATGTCAGTGCAACATAGCTTTTATATGTATATAGAAGATAAAAATATTATTCCAGTATCGGTGTGTTAAGGTTAAGAATGGAAGAACTCCATTCACACCATCTTACTTAGCAAAAAAAAAAAAAAAAAAAAAAATCTACTCTTAATATATACTCTTCTTCTTATATCCTTCTATTATATATTCAATTTATGGTTTCGATTGGTGCAAACCCAATCACGATCGTCTTTCAACTATTTACTCAATTACTTCTTCCGAATGATAAAAATATTTTTTAAATATATATATATATATATATATATATATGATATTATGATTGCGAAAAAAAAAATATGAGAAGGTGTGTTACGTTACTTTGATTGAGTCTATAATTTATGTTCGTTCTTCTTCGTCTTCATCAATCTGGTCATTACCCGCATCATCAGAATCACCATGAGAAGGTGATGGAGGCATCACAACAAATGAGCTCAATAATGTGATCTGCACCATTGGATTCTGGGGATGCCATAGTGGTTGTTGGCACATTTAGATTTCACAGTCACAACTTAACAAACTCGAATCAAAGGTTGATTTTGCCGAAGAAGAAGAACGACAACGACGACGATGTGTGTGTGCAATGCAAAATGGTTGAAACTCGAAAGTGACTATGAAACGGTCAGAGACGAAAGTGTTGGCACCCAATAAGTACAGTGTTTCATCTCTTTATGAAAATGAAAATAAATTTTTTTATTTTTTTATTGGAGTTGTTTAACCGTGAAATATTTTAATTATAAAAAGTATTTGATTAAAGGTTCGTCCGCAAGTAATGCAGATAAGTTATCTATATTGAACCCAAATGATTTTGTTTTGGTGCAAAAATCAAGATATTTTTGTAATTATAATTTATTTCAAAATTATAACAGTCTTTATTATTATATTTTTTAACCAAAAAGACTTGATTTTGGAAGTAAATATAAATAACTTATCTATATTCGCCGTAAAAATATTAAAACCTTGATTAAACGATGATTTTTTTGAAGTAATGTTTGAATTCTATCATTAAAAAAAAACTAGGATGATATTTGAATTGACTTTTGAAATTGCACTAAGTTATATACTTTTAAATATATGGGTTTAATATATCTTATATTATAAGAGTTATTATCTTCTGTACATGTATAAATGTAAGTGGAGCTTATATTTATATGAGTTCCACACACTTTTATATGTATATAAAAGATAATTTTATCTCTTACAACAAGAGAATATCGGATGATGTGGACCCCAAATATATACATGGATAAAGCTATTCGCATTCCATTGTTCATTTTATTCTATTTTACGGTATTTCTTAAATGTGTTCTTCTTTATAATTTTTAAATTCAATTATTTATTAATTACTTACACCCCTATAATAATTATTTTTTTAGGCTAATAGCAATGGAATTGTTTTGCTGAAATGAACAGTATCACTACTTGCAAAAAGTATAGCCATTATAAATTAAAGATGACATAACTAAATTTTAATTGCATGAGTAAATATAGTTTTTGAAGATGAAAATAGAGCCTCTAATGTTCATTTCATTTTTTTTCTCCTATTTTTTTTAAGAGATAAATCCCCAACGAAAAAATAAATTACAAAAATAAAATAAAGTAGACGAAGTTTAAATTCAATTTCTTTTAGTATAGAAAAGTTTAAGTGTCTGTTTGAATTCTTTTATTTTTAGTTTATCTTCTCCTTATAAGCAAAAGTTAGGCAAAACAAATTTTGAGAAAAGCTCTTATAATGAAAAAAAAAAATTTTATAATGAAGAAAATAGTCAAAAGTCAAAAGCTTCTAAGAGGAGCATTTTTTTAAGCTCTTATCAGCTTTTCTTGAATTGCATGTTTTTTCGAAATGAAGAGTCGTAGAGGTAGAGAGACTTTTTTCGAAATGTGTGCTTTAAGTAACTTTTAAACTAAAAAATTATGTAATCACTAAATAACTTTTACCTTTTTCTAAGCTCCTTTTTTTAGCTTTAATTTAAAGTAGCTTTTAGTTTAAAAAAAGATTATCCAAACAGGCACAGAGAAGACCCCCAACCTTTTTGAGATTTTACGGAACAGATTACATATCACCCACCAATAAAGTCTTCACATCGGCATGTGTAGTTTGAACTCTCTCCTTTATAAGGTATGAACCAAACCCTTAGCTAACTGTGCCCACCTTTGTTGTTTCTTCTACGAGTTATTGTTTTGGTTTAGATTACCTAGTGCCTATTTGAGAAGTTTTTTTTAGCTTCTTTTCTCGAGTTTTTTTTTATAATGAAAAAAATAGTCAAAAACTAAAAGCTTCTCTCCTAGTAGGAGCTTTTTTTAAGTTGTATCAGCTTATTTTTAATTTGAGCTTTTAAGCTAAAGAATTTATATAATCGTCAAACAGTTTTTAGCTTTAGTTTAAAAGTAACTTTTACCTTTAGCTTAAAAGTAGCTTTTAGCTCCAAAAAAAAATGTGTTAAATAGGCTGCTAGTGTTTTGGTCACCATCACAAATCCAATAAACTCTAAGATTTAAGATATTAGATTGTTCTTGTCATAATTTTTTTATAATTATTATGGGTTTCAATTAATTACAATTTTTTTGTTTTAAATAAAAATTAGATAAGTCATGTTTCATACGGGGTGCAATATAAAACACACTTAATTGAGTGATCCTTTTGTTGGACTTATATATCTTATTAGTGTCGGTAACAGTAGGCCTAACTCGTAGGCATGGTAGGAAAGGAGGTAGGATTAATAAGTTTGGCTAGGTCCCTCTACATTTATCGTAATTGGGAAAATAGTAGCTCCACAACTTGCCCTATCAACAGTTGTAAACAGGGAAGAAGTGGAACATTTTGAATAGGTTGATCCACTCATCCACCTTTGTTATCCCTACACTTATTAATTTTCCATACTTTTAATTTTCTGCACCTTTGTTTCAAACTGCTCTCAATATTGTAGTCTTTTAATGTGATTCCTTGTTGATTAATGAAGTATATTTCATCTTATTTCAAACTTTAATTATTATTTCTTTGCTATTTTGAAAACTTTGTTGTTTGTAGAAGTTTTAATTTTGCAAGATTGTAGCATTTGTTGCTTTGCTATTTTGAACGAAATGCCCTGTTATATTGTCTACTCTTTGAGTAATTCTCTTGCTTTTGTTAGTTAGTTAAAGCAAAATATTTAAGAGTTAAGTAGCAACGTTAACTCAAGAACTGAAATTTTGGAAAAGTTGAAAAAGAAAAGTTGAATTTTGAACCTCAGAATTGTTAAGGTTGTGATCAAAGTGAGTCCTAAAGGTAAGGAACAAAAGTCAAACACTAAAATTCTTCAAGAGAGTGTTCCTAGGTTTTCTCATTCCTGAATTTGCATTGACACTATAAGTGTTGCAAAATGCATATGATAAGGTACTAAGAAAAGTTTTATGGTAGATTCTTGAGAAGAAAAAAGTATCATCAAAGTATATAGATGCAATGAATGATATGTATGATGGTGCTACTACATGTTTGAAAGCTTGTAATGGAACATCAAATTATTTCCCTATCATGGTAGGTGTACATCAATGTTTTGCTCTAAGTCTTTATCTCTTTGCCTTAGTTATGCATGAACTAACAAAAGATATTCAAGAGGAAGTGCCATTGTGTATACTTTTTGCAGATGATATTGTGCTTAATGATGATATCAAGGCCGATGTTAATAGAAAACTAGAATTATGGAGAAGCATGTTGTCGTTGGAGTCTAAAGGATTTACGATAAGCTGGAGCAAGATTGGGTATATGAAGTGTGTTTTCTCTGGCAGAAGATAGAGACTAAAATTTTGTGCATCTTCTTGGACAAGAGGTACTCAATAAATATGCTTTCAGATATCTGGGATCAGTTTTGCAAAAAGGTGGAGAGATTGATGAGGATGTAAATCATAGAATCAGGGCAGGGTAGATGAAATGACGTAGTCATCAGGAATTTTATGTCACTGCAAAATTCCCCTTAAGCTAATAGGAAAATTCTATAGAATAATAGTAAGGTGTGCAATGTTATATGGAGCTGAATGTTGGCCAACACATAGGCAACATGAGTATAAAATGAAAGTAGTGGAAAT